GCCCAAACTCTATGCAGTGACCTATTTTCTAAAAGATAAGTATACTGTCACTGGGAGTCACTATCATGGTGCTTCTAGATGTTTCTCAAGCAATAAGCAAATGAAGTAAAATTAATGTAAAAACAACTCTAAAATGGTGCTGAGAGCTGTCGAATACATGAGGTTGCATAAACTCAATTAATTGCTATTCATGTAAGGAACCAAGTAACTATAGCAGTATTTGCTTCATATGCATTGATAACCCTAAATCAAGAAGCTAGTAACATATATATATATATATATATGCATTTGACACTAAATAAGTAAATATTGGTTTGAGATGAGTTTAGATAGAGTGACATGGTCTTTGGGGATTCATATAGCCGACCTCAACTTGTTGGGATTGAGACATAGTTCTTATATGTGTATGTGACGCTAAGTACAGTTACAATTTTTTCTACAAAATATATTTTGTTCCTTTCCCTCCACAGTCCACATAGCCCAAGGAATACATGCAGGTACAGTTATAATTAGGTCTTCTTCTATACCAGCATTGAAGTAATTCCCAGCTGTCCTTCATAGTCCACTTTTGCTCAAAGATGGTAAAAAGCAGGTTCCATAGTTGTCTAGTAACTTTATAATTGAAAAACTGGTGATTTGAATCGTCAACCTCCATTTCACATAACAAGCATCTGTGAAATGCAACATATATTGGCAGATCATGTTTCATGAAATTACTATAATGTGTTTCGATTCAATTAAGCTTGGCAATTTTTTAAGTCATGTTTTCAATCTTTGCCATGCGACCAGGTCTCGGATTCGTTTAAATTTCAGCGTTTTATGATATATGTGCATGCTAAAGGGATGATAGTAGATGATGAATATGTCATAATGGGTTCAGCCAACATAAATCAACGATCTTTAGCTGGGTCGAAGGACACTGAGATAGCTATGGGTGCCTATCAGCCGCATCACTCCTGGGGAAAGAAGCAGCAGCATCCACGGGGACAGGTTCGAATGTTTGATAATTTTCCCTTGCAAAATTCTTTATTTTCTAAATTTATTATTTGAAGTTAGAGAGAAAAGATGAACTTTGGACAACATATTAAGACAGGGGAAGCAACCTAGGTTTAGTTGGAAAGTTACGTGCAAACTTAAAAGAAGACTATGTCTTCCATTTTAGAACCAGGAGCCAGGGCAATGAACTATTCATTGATCATAAACTATTAGTTCAAATAGCCCAAACTGTATTGATATGTCAAATTATTGAAAAGAAGAAGGAATCAATACTAGTCTACTGTTAGAAGTCAAATGTTCATTTACTAAAATCCACTGTTTTGAGATGAAGTTGAGCAAAACTCTGATGTTTAAGTGAATCATTTCTTTTTTCATATTGTCTTGATCTCCAGATCTATGGATATAGAATGTCTCTGTGGGCAGAGCACCTCGGAACGTTAGAAGATTGTTTCAAAGAACCAGAAGCATTAGAATGTGTAAGGAGAGTGAATGCAGTCGCTGAAGACAACTGGAAGAGATACACAGCTGATAATTTCACTGAATTGAATGGACATCTTCTCAAGTATCCTGTACTAGTGGATGCTGATGGCAAAGTAGGTTCCTTACCTGAATATGAATGTTTTCCAGATCTTGGAGGTAAAATAGTAGGAAACCCATCCCCTACCATCCCGGATGTTTTGACCACTTGATTTTCAAGAATAGTCATGATGTCCCTTTTGGGGCATCTGATAAAACTAGAACGATACAAAAAAGATTAACATGACCCTGTACAAGAATGACACGCGCAAATTCAACAATTCTCATGTTTCTGAGTCTGGCAATGTCAAGATGGAGCATGTAGCTATGAAATAGTATACTCTCATTCATATCTATTTATGTTGTACATCAAAAGGTAGAAAAGAACTTGAAAATATTGTAATGCCTGTAAACAATTCCTGGACCCTGTTAAAGAAATAGAAATTTGATTGTCAATTACTTCCTTTCTGTTAATTCCACATTGGTTTAATTATTCTTAAACAACTACATATTTTTATTTAACTTTGTCCTTAAAGTGGAAAACTTTAAATTAAAACAACCAGAATTGTACTTGTTGCCTGGTTTGTATTCTAACCATTTCCAGGAAATGCTAATTTCATATTTCTTCTAATTTATCTACTTCTTAAATTTTTAAATTCAACATTTTTTGTTGGCAAAGAAGGATAGCTAGTCTTCTGTCTCTGTGTTCTTGCTTTTGCATATTATTATTTGGATAGAAAAATAGACCCCACTGGCCTCTTTTTGGTTCTGCCAAAATAGTAATTGTAAATTTCACAAGTAAAAGTCTGGGATAATTTGAAATTTCAAAAACATGTTTATCAATAAGTGATTATCACTTTTATTTTATTTTTCTTTCCTTTGTTTAAATTTTAATCTATCAAATGAAATATGATTTGGAAGATTAACAAATCAGATTTTCTCGTTATTAACTTCTTCGTAATTTAGCAATAGGTTGTTCATTAGGTGAGGTACTAGTAGCATAGTATAGGAATTAAAAAAACAATCAATTGTTTAGTCCTTACTATGAAAAATGACACATTTAACTTGTGATTTGCTTAGTCTAGTCAAAGTTTGATAAAGGTGATTATAATCATTTGTCTCAACTAGTAGAAGGTGGTAAGTATTCTATACAATTAGTCGAGATGTAAAAACTTACCCAAACATCACCATCATTTTTAAAAAAAATTGTCTCTAACTTTAATTAAAGATTATCCAATCAAGATTGGTTTTATATTTATTGAAGCCTCTTGCTATTAAATTCTGACTTGCATTTTGGTGTTGCACATTAGGATCTTTTACATCTTAAGTTTACTTGTCTAACACTTTAATGGGGTAGATAAACTCTCTAAGGCTTTATTTATTTAATACTTAATAGATGTTTGGATGTAAATTGTTCAGATATTAGGTCATTATGTGTGTTTATTTTTTTTTTAAAAAAAATCAATTAATGGGTCTGAAAGGATCTGATTCAGTCAAATCTATGAGGGAGTCTTATCTCTATTCAGACTTTTTTTAAAACGCTAATTTACAGGGCAGTCTCAAAAAATTTGGGGGCCTAAAGTCAAACTTCATAGAGAGACCTTATTTTTTAGTTAACATATATAAATTAAATAATTATAACATACTCAATGTATTTCTACAAGTGTAGTGTGGAGAGGTAGAATATACGCTGATATGATGAAATAAGTGCAAATAATTTAAATTTTCAATGAAAAATATATACTCATACAAAGTTAGATAGTGTTACGCTTGAGGAAAAGTTTATATACATATATGATATAATATATGTATGGTTATTTTTTTTCTCTATATTTATGCTTGCCCTCTCCCCTCCCTCCCTCTCCATTATCAGCATCTTCCTACTCTCTTTCAAATGAGTGTTGAATTTTTTTCCTCTTGAACATGTTAGTTTTCAAAAAATTTTATAAGTAATAAACAAAGTACTTATAAAAAGTTTTGAAAACTAACTTGTTAAAGAGGGAAACAAAAGTCAAAACTCATTTAAAGAGAGTTGGCAAACACCCATAATGGAGAGAGAGGGATAAGCGTATATATAGAGAAAAATAACAATATTTGAGCTTTATGAGGAAATAAATTAGCGTTTTAAAAAGAATTTAAATAAAAATAAGATTCTCTCATAAATCTATTCGAAATAGATTCTTTCAGACTCATTAAGTGATTTATTTAAGAAAAATAAACACTCTAATGTCTGAACCATTTAGATTCAAACCTTTATTAATTGCAAAACAAATGAGGCCTAAGACTCTAATGGGGTAGATCTCTTTGTTTTATAAAAAGAGCAATAAAAAAATGAAAAAATGTTTGAAATATATCTGAACTTTGAACGAAATTGTTGTAACAATACCGAACTTTGAAAAAGACCTTTTACCCCTGCACTATTTAATAGTGCATTTTAAAGGTATATATGTGCCCACGTGGACATCATAAATATTGCATCATTATAAATAGTAACGTGTCCACGTGAGCACATATATACCTTTAAAATATACTATTAAATAGTGCAGGGGGTAAAAGGTCTTTTATTTCGGCCAAAATTAGAGTATTTTTCAGACCCTTTTTCCTTTAAAAAAAATGTAATAATTTATTTATTTTTTTGTCGTGCCTAAATAGCGAATAAAGTTAGGTCAGGAAGGTGGTAAGCAAATGTTATGGATGTTTTTCCTTCAATTTTTTGGGACAAGTTAACACTTTGTTGGATGGTTTTTATGTATTATTTTATAATGTATTGTACTATATTGTTATAATAATGAATACAAAATTTGAATAGATTGTATTGTTTTTTGACTTACAAAATGTAACACATCTATAATTTGAATGATAAACCTATTAAAAATAGGCTATAATAGAGCTACATTGAAAATATAAGATAAAAAAGATATATAATTACATTAAATAACAAATAAAGACAAACTAAGAAGAGAATATTAAGATAACGATGCAATCACACCAAATTGTGTTTTTTATACATAAAATGGGCTCTTTATCTAATGATAGATTTAAATAAGGGAAAAATGACAAATATACTCCTGAACTATCATAAATGATATGCAGATACCCTCCGTCATACTTTTGGGACATTTGTACCACTGTCGTCCAAAAACTAGAGCATATATGCCCTTCACTCTAACAGAAGACTAAATAGGGACACGTGACACAATCTTATCCATCGATTCAATATTTAATAAATGTCGAATCGGTGAATAAGATTATGACATGTGTAGGTCTGTTAGTATAAAGGGTATATATGGTCTAATTTTTGGACGGTAGGGACATCAATGTCCCAAAAGTATGACGAAGATATCTGCATACCATTTACAATAATTCAGGGATATATTTATCTTTTTCCCCTTAAAACAAATAGGATATAATAAAATTTAAATTTAAGTAACAATCAAAACAAACATTATAACAACCATCCATCCAAACAAGGCGTAAGAGGAAATCTGTGCCCTTTCCCATCACATCACAGCACTTCACTTTCCCCCAAAGAAGCGTCTTGCAGCAAAATCGTTTGCTTCGATTTAGGGTTTTCTCGTATTCTGGGAAATGGTGAGCTCCCTCTCTTCTTACCTGCAAATGCTTTGATCCTTTTTCCTCTGATTTTCGCCAATTGATCTTATTTTCGAATTCTTTGCAGGCTGATTCTCCTCGCCAAAGGTTCGTCTTTGTTTCTTTCGCCAATTCTATATTTGATTTTTGTATTTATTGAACCATCTTTCTCTTAAAAATTGCTACTTGCATCTCTTTGTTGTAGTTACAGTTTTTGGCAAGTCCTTCATGTTTGATTGTTTTAGGTTAACTTGTTTATGACTCCATAGATCTCGTTGGTTATGTGCTATAGAGTAGGATATATGCAGCTGGGACCATTTGAATAAGCTATTGCATGATTATGGTATCAATTTTGACTTAAATATTTACCTACTTTGAAGAAAAAAGTTGGACTAAGAAAACATGCATTCAGACAGCCAATTCACAATCTTTACTTCTTATACAATACAACCATAACAACAACATGTCCAGTGTAATTCCACAAGTGGGGTCTAGTTAGAGTGGGGTGTATGCGGGTTAGAGAAATTGCCAAAGATAGACCCTCGGCTCAAGAAAAGTGTCTTACTTCATATGCTTTACTTTATATATGTCACTTAATTGCACTTTCTCAATGTTTTGTTCATATGCTTACCATAGTGAAGGCAAGTTCTATAGAATGGTTGTAAGACCAACAATGTAGGAGTGGATGTTAGGCCTCTGAAATTCTAACATATCCTCAAGGTGAGTGTCGTAATGAATACTGAGATGGATATGCAGTGATACAAGATTGAAAATAATCATACTCTACAGAATGTGCTAGTTAGTAGTAACACGCGTAGAAGATAAGATGGGGGACTGGCACTTTAGATGATTGATCATATCCTTACTGACCTCCTGATGCACCAGTTGGCGGTTTATAGCTGTGGAACCCAGGGGACAAGGTAGAACCTAAAATCGTATATAAAAGAATTTTGCCATAAGACATTTCTCGGAGTCTAGGAAAAGTACGGTACAATGAAAGAAAAATGTCTGTAAAGGTGATAGCAGTTAGTTAGGATTATGTTTTAGGTCTAATGTTTGTTGGAGTTTATGTATTAGTAGAAAATGTGGAGAACTTCTGGTGCTAGTGAAACAAATTTTTTATAGTACTCCCTCTGTCCAATTTATGTGGCACTTTTCGTTTTTTGAGAGTCAAACAATTTATGTTTGACCAGAAATTTGCGCGTGGAGTCTTCAATTTTTTTGAAATGAAATTTATATATTTGTTAATTACGTAAAAAGTACTATAAGTCACAATAATTGGCAATTCAAAATAATTAAAAGATATGTGAAAAAGTTACGGTCAAAGATAGACTTGTTTGAATCTCAAAATTCGAAAAGTGCCACATAAATTGGGACGGAGGGAGTATTTGACAGAGAGGGACTTAAATGGAGTTACATAGACAACAGAATTCGTATAGTCGTCCCCTACTTGTTGGTTTTGTAGTGTATTTGTACAATTTTAAATTTTGGTGTAAGAAAATCAGCCATTAAGTTTGAGTAAGTTAGAAATGTTTCTTTCCAGCTCATTCAGAAAATGAATTATGATTTTGAACTTGGTTAACATACCTCTATTTTTTGATAACCAAGAATTCCCAAGAGCTATTTGGTACATGGTTCTAAACTTTATGTATGATCTCTAACTTTCTCCCTTAAGTATCAGGTTTTTCTCTGCGAAAGATTCGAACCATGACTTGTGCTTAACCCTTATGTCGCTCATCAATGATTTGTTGTTGTTGTTTAGTCCCATAAGTTGATTTTGACGCCTAATAGTGTAATAGGCTGAGTTAACTCAAAGATGTGATATAAGTCTCTACTGGTTATTATATTATGGATGACATAACTTAAAGATCAAACATTTAAAATCACAGTACCGGTGATGGGTTGACTCTTTTACCATGATTAAAAAATGGACCTTGGACCTAATTTAATTGCAAAAGCTAGCTCATTATGTGAGGGTTGTTCAAGGCCATATAAAAAAGGACAATCCCATTTCTTTCAATGAATGTGACATTCTAAGTATCAATATCATAGAATAACTATCCTACTCTTCCGGAAAGTTCAGATTTGTAATTGTCCACTCTCTTAGTTTATACTTTGATAGTCCACTTTTATGTTAACTATAAACATTGTAATTTTTTCTAGACTTATATTTTGAGCACAAATTATGTCTTTTCCACAATTATAATTTATAAGAATGGGGTCAAATCCTAAGTAACTCTTGTGTTATTTCATGGCGAGTAGCTGGTTTCATTGGATGGTGGAAGTGTAATGGAGATACACTTCAAGCTATATTTTTGAGGTTTCTGGCCAATCTGTAGGCTTAATTGCTGGAGCATGTTATTTTTTGAATAATTTACATTTATCCAACTATACTGCTGTTATTTGGAGTGTCATTTCCTTATCCAAGTATAATTCTATGATTCATTCTGAACACTTTCTAAATGTATTCCAAGCATTGCGTTAATATAAAAAAAAAATCGTGGATTTTAATATATAATTTTTTTTCCTGCTTTATGATATGTATGAAATTTTACCTGCAAAAAGATGATTTCATTCTTTGAGGGGTCCCTTTGATATATGTTTTATGTCAATATGCTTTGTGCCATTTATCTTGTTTATTGTTGAAACTGTTTGATCTTATATTTTTCGGATGTCCAGGTATTCACGCTCTCCTTCTCCTTGGGAAGAAAAGTCGAGATCTAGATCTAAATCAAGGTCTAGATCTCCACCTGGGTCATATTCAAGGCCAAAGGAAAGATCAAGGTCAAGAAGCCGTGGAAGGTTTGTTGGACCTTCAGCTTTACTCTACCTTAGCATTTTCTTTTTAACAGTGGTGTCCAAGCACCTTAACTATTCCACTAAGTACTTGCTAATGGGAACTCGTCCCACTAGGCAGATGGGAAGAAATCAGTTTAGTGTTTTCGTCTCTGGTGGTTTTTTTACCAATACCCACTTCATTGATCATTAGGACAGTGTCCTTGGGGCTTGGGTACAACCTTGCCTTAGTATTTATTATTGTAGTGATACGTGCATATTCCCCGGAATTATGTTCGGGTTTGTTTTGAAGCTGCTTTTCTCGTCCTATATGACTTATTTCAGGGAAGAAGTTTCTAATCCGGGAAACACACTTTATGTGACTGGTTTGTCTACAAGGGTCACGGAAAGGGACCTGGAGGAGCATTTCTCAAAGGAGGGGAAGGTTGGTTATTTTTAGTTAATGTATTAGTAGGTTACTTTCTCATTTCTTCTCAAGTTCCATCTCCTGCAGCTCTTCCTAGCTCACAGCAAGGTTTTTACCCTCCAAAATCACGTGTATTGTATTTTTCTTCAGGTTTATCCATAGTAGAGTCTGGTCAATGTGTAAACAAACAGATTGATTTATGGTGTTATCTTTACCAGAATAGCTTCCCATTATACCTGTATTGATTTTTTTGTTTCTTCTGAATTTTCTTTAAATTTTGTTTACTAGGTGAAATCAGTTTTTCTTGTCATGGAGCCGCGTTCTCGGATTTCTCGTGGTTTTGCTTTTATAACGATGGATAGTATGGAGGATGCTAATCGTTGCATTAAACACCTTAATCAGACGGTTCTTGAAGGCCGTTACATCACAGTGGAAAAGGTTAGCTTGTCTATGGACTGTAAACCCATTTGTTTCCTATTTGATTGCATATCTGTCTTCTTAACTTGGAGGTTTTCTGGCTACATTCAGAAAGACATTGCGTCAGCTTTGTTGGCAGCAATCAAAGATGATCAGTTCTTCCCTTGCAACATTATTACTCAGTTTGATCAATCGCTCGCTAAAACAGCTTTTTACATGCATCTGCTCAACTAAACGTAGCAACTATATTGCCAACAACTATACTACTTCAGCAAATTCTTTCAACTCTCAACTAATCAACGGTCATTATCAACAATCTAATCAGGCTTTTATGGTATTGGATACCTGGCATTGGTTTCTATCTTCCATCCTTCTTCCTGTGATAAAACATGTAAAGATAACTAAGCTGCTCTGTTTACACAAATTGAATGGTATTAGCATGTGCTTGTGCCAGTCATTCACTAAGCATGGAAGGGAAAAAAGATGAATCTGATTTCTTTGCCCATATGAGAGAATGGTGTGTTCATTCTTTATTACAACAGGGATTTCATTGTCTGATCTGGATACCCCATTTCTTTGGGATGTAAATGTACATTTTGTTGAGATCTCCCATTTTGAGACATATATGTATTTTTCAGTCTCGGAGGAAACGTGGAAGGACTCCTACGCCTGGTCACTATCTAGGGCTTAAGAACGCAAGGGATGACGGTGAGTGTTTCTAATATTATACAAGTTTGTATGGCATATTCAGTGTAATCATGGAAGTTCTTAACTACTGGTTGCTTTCTTCATAGGTTATCGTGGTGATCGTGGAGACCGTGGCAGGTATAGAGATCGTGAGGACTATGGGTACCGAAGATCTCCAAGGCATTCACCATATAGAGGTGGGCGAGATTATTCACCTAGGCATTCACCTTATGGGGGAAGGTCAAGAAGGGAGCGTTCTAGGTCATATTCTCCTTATGAAAGGAGCTATCCTCGTGGTCCCAGATAGGACTTTGTCAAGGCGTAATCCCCAATGGCAATGGAAAACTGCTACAAGAATCTTTATAGTGTGGTTTGTCTAGGCTGGTGTGTTTATGTATTGTGCTTATCTCTAGCTGACTTCCTTATTGTACCTTAGTTTGCAACAAGGTTTAAGTAGCGAACAGAATGAAATTACAAACCCTGGGAAATGTAGTTCTGCTGCTGATTTGATGGAACTTTAATTGAAAATTTGTGATTCTTGTATCATAGTTTGCATTGCTTTTAGAGGGAATCAGTATGTTAGAAGAAGAAATGATTTGCACGAATGACCAAAATTAGGGAATTTTTCACGAGCCAGGTTCTTGAAGTGTATGACACAACTTGTTGTAGAACTTTGGTTTTTTCTTGTTCCCCTTATTCCTTGGGAATGATATGTTCAAGATACCCTGTGTTGGAGTAATAAATAAAAATAGAGGGTAATTTTGACCCTTTCTCCCGGTTAGACAAATGGATCAAAACTTCAAGATCACCCTTATACTGTTATAATTTCGCAATTTCTTCCATTATTATTTGCACCATCTATATATTTATTATAAAGTAATGCATAAATAGGGCAATGTGACACTTCTCTCATTGTTATTTATCATTAATTTTTTTTGTAAGATTGACATTTTCTCTTTTAACTAATTTTCTGATTAAAGAATTAGCTATATTCTAACTTATTTAATCAAATGATCAATAAAGTTATTTAATTAATGTATGTTACATATGTTTTTTGCTTTATGTAATTTATTAGTTTTATTTAATTAGCTGACCAGTAAGGTTTGGTAAGAAGCCCTTGAAATTATTAAAAACTATATAGTTTGCTAATTTCAACATCTTAGCAACTTCCTCCTTCTGGCAGTGCAATTTTCATTTTGTAGGAAACAAAAGTTCACCCAAACAAATGAGAAGAGAATGAAGTTGGGAAAAGGAGTGAAGCCTTTTTTGGCATATGTGGTTTGCTAACCTTGTGTTATAATTCTGCTCTATAATTCCTATAAATAGAGATGAGATTTGAGAAGTCATATTTTAAATATACTTGAAAATATTTATTTGAAGAATAATAAAGCACTATTTTAAGACGAGAGGGAGTTGCTTGGATGGTAAACACCCCTCATTTCCAATCCGAAGGTTGCGAGTTCGAGTTACCAAGGGAGAAAAAGGGTGGGAGAATGGTAAGCACGCCTCACTTCCAACTCGAAGGTTGCGAGTTTGAGTCACCAAGGGAGCAAAAGGGTGGGAGCTCTTAGGTAGGGAGGGTAAAAAAGAAAAATGCACTCTTTTATTATTTATATAATATTTTTTTTTACTATACTTTCTTGCTTCATATTGTGTTAATCTTTTAGCTTAATTTTACTTAAAATCTATTCCGAATAAGTATGAGCTAGTTTAAAGAGCAAAATCCAGCTTCGTCTTCTTCGTTTCTATCTTCACCATGTCACCAACAGCTATCCTAAACCCTCGAATCCCAAACTTCACTCCATTTCCTCTATACAAACTTCAATTCCTCAACTTACCTCCTTCATTTCCCAAAAACACTTTTCGCTCCCAAATTCCTCCTCATTCTCTCAATTTCTCCCTTCAAAACAACTCGCAGCAACCCCACTTCCCCCTCGAAGACGAAGAACACGTAATCGGAGACTGCATAGTGTTTGAAGAAGGAATTTTCGACGACCCTTTTGTTCAAAAATCCGACAACAACCAAAATAAGCCACAAAACAACAATAAGAAGAAATCAGCAGAAATTCAATCCGAGAATTTAATTCCTGAAGAGTGGGTTGAAGTTCAGAGGGAAATTAACATTACTAAGAAGGAAAGGCGTAAGCTTTCACAGCAATTGGAGTTTGGGCAACGTGCAGAGAGGAGGAGGCTAGAGTTAATGCCAATTGGTAGTAACAGTAATGCTAGAGGCAGTAGTATTGAGGATTATTTGAAAGCGAGAGAAGAAAAGTTGAAGCAATTGAAGCCGCTTGTGCTTGAAAACCCAGATTTTTTAAAGGTTAAAAGGGATAAGAATGAGAAGAAGAAGAAGAGTGATGCTGAATTGAGTGAAAGTGAAGAGGAGAATTCTGTATTGAGGGTTTCAAGTGAAAGGGTGTTGCCAAGAGATCCTAGATCAGCGGTTTATGGTGGTGGATTAGAAGATATTAAGGAGTTTTTCAACAGTGGGATTTATGAGGCCAATGCGGCTAAAAGCCCTGAAGGTATGGTTTCTTTATGTTTGGGTTGGTTGAATTTGTGGAAGTGCTTGGAGGAATCTGTTATGCATAGTTTTAGTGGAGTGAAAGGGTCAAAACCACACCTGAAGTTCCTGTTTTTTTGAGTTCCATACCTGAATTTTAAGGTGTGCAAGTGAGTTTCCTACGTGAACTATCACCAACTATTTATCAAAAGACACCTCAACTATGAATTGTTCTCTTCTCCTACCGGAACGAAGGTGATAGTTCAGGTAGGAAACTGGCATGCCTAATAGTTTAGGTATGAAACTCGAAATAACGGAATACTTTAGGTGTTTTTTTTACCATAAACTCATTTTAGTACTAAAAACATGTACTTTCTGGTTCCAATTTGGACATGCATTTCACAATTTTTAGGAAATAATGTGTACATTTCTGCAACTACATAATATTTACTAAAAAAATCAGTTTTGATACTTAAAGTACATTTAGGTTGTCAAAGAATGTTTTGATTCTCCAAATAGTGTTATATAAAATGGGATAAAGCCTAAAGGAATACCAAACTCGGGCTCCTCTGTGTTGAACCAAAGAGTCGACTGGGAGTTGTTGAAAGAACAGTTTGACTCTCCAAATAATAGTATCATGTAAAACAAGATGGAGAAGTATTGAACTCAGGCTATTCCATTGGATTAAGAGAGGGCTGAGTTAAGATAGTTTACCTGTCAGCTTTTTAAGGCAATTAACCTTTTGGATGAAAATGTTATAGTATATACTTGTTTTAGATTGAGATAATGTTAGTAATAAACAATTCCAGCGTTACAGACTAGCCTAGTAAAGCATCTTTTTTTTTTTTTTTTGATGACAAGGGAAATCTGCAGCCGCTACCCTTTGGGTTCGCACAGGGTAAAGTTAAACTTTACCTTGCTCCTATGCAATAGCTTGCAAACCACATAGGAGAGGTAACCCGCACTAGGCAAGCCCGATGCGACGAGCTCGACCCAAAAGGCAAACCCCTTGCTTTTGCTGGCAAGGGGTTTCGAACTTGAGACCTCCAACATGGAAGTCCCAAGCCCAAACCACTAGGCCAACCCGAAGGGTAGCCTAGTAAAGCATCTGATAACTAATCTAAGTTGAGTTTTGATTTTTAAACTATTGAGTTTGTTCTTGGGTCACTGTTGACTAAGTTGTGTTGATTCTTTCCAATTTGGCATTGTTGACTTAGACTTTTAAAGTATGTCAGAAGTGCAAAGATAAATGTCAATGCTGAATATTCATGAAGGCCCTAACGCTTGATTCGTGCGTTTTATCATAGCATATAGAATAAGGTTAAACCTCATTTCCTTTCTTCTGGTATGTTATTAGTACACGTATATATTGTTTGCCAGTGGTGATATAAGCATCAATTACCACATTCAGTTGGGAGTTTGAAACTGTTAAATCTTGAAACACTAGAAGCTATTTGCCTGCCAATATGTCGAAGTATATTGATGTTTCTAAAAGATAAAAACATATGGATGAATTGATCCAGAAGTACTAAAGTAGATGTCTATGGCTCGCTTGAAGCTGTTATCTCATACTTGTAGCATTTTTTCCATGCCCATTACTTGAATGGAATTTAGCAACTATCAGAAAAGAAAAAAGATTTTGGACAAGATGCAAATCTGCTTAATTAAGGTCCCTGTTATATCATAATCTCCTGACTTCTCAACGTTCAGCCTGGAGAAGTTTTGAGGAACGCTATTTTTGAAGAAGTTCCTCTATCTACATTGGTCTATTTTTGTTTCCAAATTTAAGATATAAATTCCTGTCAAGCTTATATTGCTTTAGGCTAGTATTTATTTACTGGTGTCCACTATTTGTCGTGCTAACTGGATTTGCGTGCATATTATATGTTTTTCCCCTGTCAATGAATTGGACAAATTCAGTAGTAGTGTACACCTTTTATTTCAAACTCTTTTCCACAGGCTAATATGACTTTTTGGTCATATAATTGAGATTTTATTTGTTCCCTCTTTAGGGCATCATTCAGAACTCAACGTTTTTGGTATACTAATCTGTGTAGGTCCTCGTAAGCTGTTCACTACAGAGGAAAAGTTCCTATTAAACAAACGGCATCCTGATCTGGTGCCTGCTACCTCTGTAAGTTCCTGCCTTACGTGTTTGCTTATATATTGGTGTTAGTGAAATGTATTTATATGTTTTCTCCTAAATTGGCTATTCTCACTTACGCATTGTGTTGAAGCTGATCATTTTATGCTGTTCTATTTCTACATTTTTGTTCCTGTGCAAGCTTGTTTCAATCTTCAATGCACTTTGTGCAAGTAATCCTCTTATTATAGATGGTTTAGATTGATTCCCGAATTCTACCAAAACCTTGCAGGAAAAATGGCAGCCTCTACATACTTTAGCTGCCTCAGGAGAGTTTTACCTTCTCACCTCTTTGTTGAAGCATGTTGTTGATATTAATGTTCCAGATAAGGTACAAAATGAGTGACATGTACCAGTAGAATGGTCCTTTCTGTTCTGTGCCATATTTGTTGTTTATTAATATATTTTTAATTATATACCAACTAATTTTATAGCTATGCAAGCAGTGTCTTCTTTTTCTAGCTCCTATTGAATTGTTGTTGTTTTTTTTTTTTTTTTTTTTTACAGGATGGATTGACAGCTATCCATAAAGCAATTCTTGGCAAGAAGCAGGCTATTTTTAACTTTCTTTTAAGAGAATCTGCAAATCCACTTATACGTGACAAAGTGAGCACAACCTTCTACAAATGCTTGACAATTTACATTCATGTTGGTTCTTTTTCATTAACATCCATGTAACCATTATTCCCGTGACAATTCAGATTGAGTTATCCTTTTGTTTTTCTTCTCTCCCCTTGACCGAGACTCTGTCTCATACTAAACCACATAGCAAGTGTCCTTTTATTCTCTTCTCCCAGCATTGTCCGATCTGTCCTTACTGAACTACATTTCAGTCTTAGCTTTGTTGTCAACCATAAGAATCAGCTATATGATTTTCATTCTATATGAACTTTTGGA